GGTCACGTGCTCGTCGATGAAGCAGCTGCGGGAGGCGGAGGGGAGGAAGGTTCTTGTCTCCCCGCGTCCCCCCTTCCCCCTCCTACCAGCCTGGTCCTCCAGGTTCTCCCATCGCAGGGGCTGGGAGGGACTGGGACTGGGGGGAGGCCCACTCCACCTCCAGGTCCATGGGAGCCCTGCCCTGGGAGGCAGAGGTGACTGTGCCCACTTTACAGGTGGGAGAACTGAGGCCCGAGAGGGAGAGTTGTGAGCTCACGTGAGCATGGAGTGGTGGCGGCCGGTGATGAAGTGACTGTTGTGCCAGAGACTCAGAAAGAGGGCGGGCGGGCACTCCCGGAGCGAGGGACAGAGATGCATCAAGATGAGGGACATAGAGAGAGGGGGATAGCAATTCAGAGAGGGAGGGGCAGGGATGCAGAGAGAGGGGGACAGGGGCCCAGAGAGCAGGGGAGAGAGAGAGAGAGAGAGAGAGACCCAGAGGGAGGGGACAGGGAACTGAGAGAGAGGGACAGAGATGAGGGAGAGAGAGAGAGAGGACAGGGCCGCAGAGTGGGCAGAGGCCGAGGTCTGGGAATGGTGACCTGGCTCTCCTTGACTCAGCAGCCACACTGTGCTGCTCTCTCGCTCGGGGTGTGTGTACAGAACCTCGACTCCCGAAACAACGGACACAGTGGTTACCACGCCCCTGCCCGTTTGACAGACGGGACACTGAGGCCCAGAGTCCGCGCCCTGATAGCCTGTCCTGATAGGAGCACGGCTGTGTCAGGCCGGGACTGTGTTCCCCAGGGACGGTGAGAGGCAGGCCTGCGGCCCGAGGCCCCTACCTGAGGGTGGCATTGTCGCCTTCGCACACTGTGTAGTTGTCGGCGGGAGAGCTGAACTCCAGGCTCTGGGACAGCAGCCCTGTGGGTGGGAGGCCAGCTCAGCACAGCGGCCACTGTGCCTGTGCGCGCGCGCGCACACACACACACACACACACACACACACACGTGTGCCCTCGCAGACACAGACATTCTCCACACCCACCACACACATGTTCACTGATGATTCCAGAAACACACACGGCAGACACACTCAGAGAGGACACACACATGTATCTCCCCACAAGCCCACCCTGACTCAGACAGACCGGGACACACAAACCTACACCCTCCAGAGACACTGAGACCCACCCCAAGCATCGCACACGAACACACATGTATGCAAGGCACATGTACATCAAACACACATGTACATTCACAGATACTGTTTACAGAAACACCTACATATACACAAAGTCAGATATGTATACATGTATAGACACATGTGCACACTTACATATTCACAGTGAAGAGACCCATGCACAGATTAAAAATGCACAAATACATATACATGGGCAGACACACATACACCAATGCAACAAACACATCCACAGATGCACACATACACACACACACAGATGGACATGGGCACACATATTCAGATGCACAAGTACACAGATACACACACACATACAGAAGCATGTACCTATGCAAACAACACATGCAGACACACACATGTGCACACATTAATTCAGAAATACATGGAAACACACACATATGGAGCTGGCTGCATGCACTCGACACCCACGCATGCGCGCGTAGACACACAGACACGGATGCACACACATGCGCGTGCACACACACACATCTAACACAAACACACCCTTAGGCATGGTGCACAGCCACACACAAACCTTCACAGACACATGAGTCTGCACCCGTGTGTCCCTGCTCACCCGGACGCACTCTCGCGGGCCCAGGCCCATGACCGCCTGCACACTCCAGTGCAGCTTGCAGGCCCCATTGCCCGGCAGGGCCCCCACCCCCACCCATTCATCTCTCCGTGGACCGTGGCCAGCGGGCTGGACCGGAGCCAGGAGTGGGGGCTGGGCCAGTGGAGGCGGCCGGATGGAGATGCACCAGGCTGGGGAGAGGAGGCGGCCGGATGACCTTGGACGCCTGGGAGGGAGGGCCCTGCCCTGCCCCGGGATGAGGAGCTAATTAATCTGATGAATTAATTGCCCGTGCTGCCCCGATGACTCCCGAGGGCCCTCTCCATCAGCAGCCCCTCAGGACAGGGCTGGGGCAGAGCCAGCGCGGTGGGCAGCCCCTCACCAGGCCTCACCCAGGCACTCCTGGATGGAGGGAGGGGCCCGCCCGCCCCAGCCGTGCAGAGAGGACAGGGCCACACACAGCCCTGGGAGCAGATGGACACGCACAGGGACACACGCAGACACCAGGCCCAGGGCACATCCTGCACTCGATCACGTGAATGGCGGCGGAGCCTGCTCAGGTTCCCCCTCAGGGTGACCACACCGCCTGGGACACACCCAGCGGAAAGTCATGAGAAAAGACAAGTCTTTCTCAGGAGCACCCCCAGTCAGGCCCAGAGGGGACAGCCCCAGGCCAAGCTGCATC